GCATTGAGTATCAACATATCCTCCATTATTTTGTATAACTAAAAATTTAACAAATGATTAATCAATTAAAAAATTAACAAGACATTGTGAAAATACTGTTTTAACTTCAATTTTATTATTTCTTGTAACTCAGTTATAATTCTTGATTTTAATATATTAAATTAAATAAATTCTGAATATAGAATCAATTTCAGTGTATATTTAATCAATTTCTTTAGTAATTCCATTTCATATTATAATTATAAATATCTGAATAATTTCCTCAATTATATTAATTGTTTCCATTCTTCTTACTACAATAAACAACATATTCTTATGAAATATCAAGTCTCTTATCATCACCATCTTTCTTATTTATTATTCTTCATTCAAGTAATGCAATTGAATTGAATATAAAAATTACATTCATTTCCATTGATATCAAATTGGAGTTAATTTTCATTCTTTTCTCATTTCAACTGATTCTAATGCTTTGATATTCATTTACTTAATTCTCTTTTTCTTCATCATTTATTTTAATTTATAAAGATTAATATATTCATCATTCATCATATCAGAAAACAGTCAATCTATAGATAATTTAAATATTTCTCTTCTATTGAAATAACACACAAATCTAGCATTCTAGCACCAAAATTAGCAAAGAAAAATGCATCCAAATAATTTACAAAAATGAAAAAAGATGCAAAAAAATTTGCATCATTAGATTTTTCCATTTATTATATTTTGCTCCTAAATAAAAATAAAAAGTATGATAAATACAGAATATATAAATATTTATGTTTATATTTTATGATCACTTGTAGTCATTTGTATGAAATATTAATGAAATAAATGATTTGATGAATCATATTTATTTTTATTATGTTATTTATCTATCTTATTTTATTTATGTACTTATTTTTATATTTTTATTTCTCTGTTTATATTATGTATATCATTGTATTCTTCTTATTATCTATATATTATTATATTATTCTTATTTTATGTTTTTTATGTTTATATTCTTTAGACTTTCTTCTTTATATTCTTTTTTATTTAGATATATTTGTTTATTTGTTTATTCATATTTATCATTTTTATATTCTTATCATTTATATGTACTTTCAATTTGTATTTATTCTGTTTTGATCTATATTAATTTTATCTTTTATACTTTGATTTTATGATTATATCATTTATTATCATTTCTATATTTATTTATCATTTATTCTTATTATTCTTTTGTTTTTATATTCTATATCATATATTCATATCATTTTCATTTATATTTTATCACTTATTATATGTTATAATAACATAACACATATTATTGAATATATAATAAATATCATAATAAAGTTATACATATAAATAATAAACATAAAAAATAATAAAATATTTTTCATCAATAAAATATTGTTAATCATTTTACATCATTAAATTAGACACTTTTATTGAATATTTCTCATTTTTACAATAAAAAATACACATTTTATTTCACCATTCTTTTCTTCTTTTATCATCTCTTTTGTTTTATTACGCTTTATCTTCTTTTTTTTTTTATCTTCTCTACTTTCTGCTTTTATTCTTTCTTCATCTTATTCTATTTCTTACTTTCTTTTTATTCTTTTATATCTTTCTCTTCTTTTTCCATTATTTGATTTTTTCGTTGTCTAATTACTTCAATGGTTAACACAAACTTAATTTCATTTTTTTGTAAAATACTGTGTAATGATAATATCATATCATTTCAACAAATATTGTTTTGAAGTGAGTTGTTTTAGTATCAGTTTATCTAAAAATACATAATTCAATACACAAACAATAACTTATTCAGTATTAACGTTCAATTCAAATACAGGTTGATAAAAATGAATAATCATAACAAAACTCTATTCTGGAATGAAAAATAAAGAAGGTACTTGAATTGTAGTTATAAAAACTGTATTGAATAACAATAAATTTCTCAAAAAGTCTATTAAAAATTAACACCTCCATTAATGTGGTTTTATCTTACTGAGTCAATATAAAAAAGAAACTAGAATGTTAAATGACTGTGTTATGATGAAAACTATAACACATGCACTAAAATAGAATAAGAAATATATAACCACAAAAATAAAACAAAAAGACAACTTCCATAGCTAAAAAAGAAAAAGCATAAGAACTAATTTAAATGTGATTTTAATGTCTTATAAGATTAACTTGACTTTCAATATTGATGACTAAAATAACAAGTAATTATTGTAGTTTGAATGATATGCTCTATATTAATTCAAATACCTTGTTCTTTCATAGCATATTCTTTTCTTGACAGTTGAATAAAAGAAAGATGGATTGTCATACTTCACTTTCATCCTTTTTTTTGTAAGACTAATTTTTATTAAACAAGAATAATCCAATTATTATAAAACATAATGAATAAAAATGAGAATGAATTTTGAAGAAAAGAGAGTTAAATAAAACAAACTACGAAGTATTTAGAGTTGTTATATGTTTTTCAAACAGTTCAAATGAAAATAAGTATAAATGAACTAAACACGTTTTAACCTTATTTATATTGATGACAAATTAAACCGATAAATAATACGATTAAAAAAAAAGATAAAACGAATAACAACCACTATTATTATGACTTAACAATATTCAGGAAAAACATCTTGAAATAATTTAAATCCTTGATTCCATCTAATTGAATCTTTAGCATATTGCCTTTTTTTGGAATCACTATCATTAAATGAACCAACCCCACAATCAGTTCCAGTCATAAAAGACAATAGTCCCATTAATACAGAGAAGACATTATATGACGGACTCCAAGTTTCTGGATGGAAATTAGAAATAGAAATACAAATTTTTTGATTTGGTTTGAATCTTCCTGATGGAGTAAACATTTCAATAGATGGTGGTCTGAATGGATAATCGAATGGAAGAGTTACTTTACCAAAATACATCCCACCTTCATATGGTGTATCTTTTGGTCCAATGAAAATGTAATAACAATTTAGAATGTTATTTGGGTCGAATCGTTGAATAATTAGAGGGTCTTTTTG